CACACACACACACACACACACACACACACACACACACACCGGGGGTTGGAGCATGGGACACAGCAATCACTGCTGGAATCTCTGAGAGTCTCAGAACCTGAGAGTTTGGGGAAGAGAAGGAAGATCCTGGGGCCGTTATCCTGGTGGTTTGTGAGGGGGGAGGCAACAGCAGAAGTGGGACTGAGAGGACCGCCGACATCCAAACCCAATCAATCCTCGCGTCCAAATTCCCCAGTGAGCATTTCACTAATCTCACCACCAGGAGGGGCTGTCACCCCTCCACTGTACAAACTCTTCAGAAGAGGGAAAGAACTCAGGACTGCCAATCACTTCATCTTAATATCTTTTCTTTACAAAATGTGCCTGGAAAATATTGTCTCTTTAGAACCTGTTTAAAAATTGCAAAGATAGGTAGGACTACGTGGAAAAATGCAGAACAGAAACATGAGTGTTTAAAAAATAATAAATTTTGAAAAGAAGTCTTACACAACAATACATAAGAAGTGTTATCTCAGTGAATTCTCACAATTGTAAGGTTGTTCTCGGCTTATTTTATAGATGAAGAAACTGAGGCTGCCCGGTGCGGGGAGAGGGGTAGGATAAGCAACTTGTGTGAGGAATACAATGCTAGTAAGAGGAATGCTTGCATTCAAACCCAAGTCCATCAGAATCCAAAATACCAGGCTCTTGCCTTCAGACCAGATGTATCAAATTAAGTAAAATAATAACAATACTGACATTTGTTGAGCACTTACTATATGCTAGGCACTATTTTAAGCACTTACTAGTATTAACTCATTTAATCCTCACAATAACTCTATGACTTGGCAAGTAATGTTATTCCCATGTTATAAATAAGTCACACAGCTAGTGAGCAGCTAGAACCTGTACCCTTGTGGAAAAGTGAATCAATGCTATAAACAATGTTTTATTTTTAAACCAAGAGCAAAATGCCCATCCTTTCTTCTTTCTATTCCATTGAAGCCATCTTCCATCATTGCAAAGATTTTCAAATATGAATACACAATGTGTTTAAATAAGTGTGAACTGATCACTGGAGAATTCATCAGAAGCAGGGGTCTTCAAAAAGATCTAGAAACAATAAGTGGGATGTTAATTTAGTAGCCAAATAGAGAGTTTCCCACTGAGGCCTTTGGATGGTAGAGGATGCATAAAGGAAACGGGTAGGCCAATTTGTAACTCTAAGAATGTGAGAGGGAATGATAATAATCCCCAGGACTGATCCACTTCTCTGTGATTTTTATCGTAAAGAGAGAGCACTTCACAATTCTCCTTCACGGCACAGTGCCCTTTATATTGCAGCGGATTCCTAATATACATCTTTCATAAGTATATTGCAGTTTCTCCTGTTTCAAAGTTTTTGTAAAATGTGTATTAAGGCAGCAGGTTAGTTAGTGTTTTTAATCAATTAAATCTTTTTGCATGTGGAATATGTTAATAAAAATATAGTTGAGTCAAATTCACAATTTGGCTAGAATCAGGCCTTTTTTTAAAAAAAAAAATCAAGCTCTTCCCTATAACTGTAGACTAGACTGTACATGGCTTCAAATGGCCACTGGACTTGACAGATAATTTGTCAAACGTCCAAATGGTCCCTTAAGTCAATAAGTGGGACAAAAGCCACAAACATGTGTGTGATTCCACTCTTGAAGCGTCTTCATTTTCCTGGCCCCATTATAGATATTGACTGAATTTATCCATTCTCTCGGTCAGCTCACAAAAATAACTCTGTCAATTAGTAGCTGTGTGGCCTAGAGCAAGTCACTTAACCTCTCTCTACCTCAATGTCCTTATTTGTGAAATAGAAAAAAAGAACCATAATGTTTCTATGAGAAATAAATGAGCAAATATGAAATGTATAGAGTAGGGTCTGGCACACAATATAGACTCAATAAAAATGCTAAGTATTGTTTTTAAAAGCGGTACTACGGAATATTTTTCTTGGGGAGCTTATGTTTTGGAAAGAAAGTATCGCAACAGAAAAAATGATCATGGTGACTTTTTAGTCTAGGGTCTAGGGTGTTCCATACATTTTTATAAATGTCTCTTGTCTTCACCCATGTTTCCAACAGGGATTACCTCACGAACAAAGACTCGTGGAGCAGATGCCAAAAGCCTGAAAACGTGGTTCCCTGGAATCTGACCCTTTTCTCCATCCTGCTGGTCATAGGAGGTATCCAGATGATTCTCTGTGCCATTCAGGTGGTCAACGGCCTCCTGGGGACGCTGTGTGGAGATTGCCAGTGTTGTGGCTGCTGTGGGGTAAGTTGAGTTCTTTGTCCTTTCCTCTCTACATGCAGAAGGCCAAGGCTGACCTGGTCTGCAGTGTTAACAGAAGGAGAGGGTATGGAGGGTGGCAGCTAAAAAAACCCAGAACCAGGCTGGAAAGTCCAGGCAGCCCCCTCTGTCAACTCAGGGAAACAGTGACATTGTGTTGCTAGAACCCAGAAACTCTACTCTCTGCACATTAACATACCCAGGTTGAAGTTGACAAAATTGTTTACTCTCACATTCATAGTCCTGGAAGCAAAGAACTCCATATATATATACAGAAATTTACAATAACAATATATGAAAATCCCCAGTAAGTAGGCATGTGTCATATGCACATATTGCCAGCAGTAATACACCACGGTCTGGCCTGAAATGTTCTCACCATTTCCTAACCAGATCTACAGAGTGGGTTAAAGTTGCCAAGGAATATATGCAACATGCTTTAGGATATTTTCATTTCCCTGGAAAAGAACAGAACATAGCCATAAAAACAAAAAACACCCTATATTTTGATGGGATTTCTAATTATAGAAGAGAGAAATGGTTCTTAAGTGGGAGGAAAAAAAGGTAATTACTAAGGATTATCTCAAAATATGATTGTATATGATCAACAACAATGTAAAAAATCTAAATAAACCTATGAACAGTAAAACAATGTAATTATTTCAACTAATGACCAAATCAGATCAAGCAATTATTCATATACACACTGATTTAAATATGTAGACAAATGTATGAGGGAAAAAAATTAAACAGAACTCTGATCTCTAATTGGAAATTATATAAATAAATATAAATAAAGATCTCTCTACTTAACATAATATCATTCCCAAATTTTAAATGATTCAAGTGATTTTCTTTAAATTTTTAACAAGCATTATATGTGTAAATCAAAAATTGTGTGTGTGCGTGTGCGTGTGTGTGCGTGCACAGAGAAATATATAGAGGCATTCAGCTAGAAAGTCTGCACCCTGCCCTTGTCTTTGGTCCACCCAGTTCCCCCAGTTCTCCACCCAGGGAATATTACCTAATTTCTTAAATATCCCCTCAGAGTTTCTTTTTTATTGTTTTCATTCCCCCTACCTTAAAAAGATTTTTTCAAAACTTAATAATACTGAAAGTGCTTATGACATAGTATTATTTAAAAAGAGCAAGATACAAAAAAATATATATAGGATATACAATTATATAAGTCAGAAAAAGCAAACACTATAAATAGAAAAAACACCTAAAGGAAATTCAACGAAAATGTTAAAGATATGTGTTTCTGGGTAAAAGGACTTTTGCTTTTTTCCTTCCTTCTATCATATTATTCAATAAAGTTTTAATAATCATATGTTTTAAAATACAAAAAATGTAAATAAAAAGTTCTAAAAATCAACTGTAAAATGCATGTATTACAAATAAATTCACTGACTATTGTTTTTTTTCTATAAATTTTCAACTCTATTGCATTGTATTTAAAATTTTTGGTCAATAAACACAATTGGAGAGAAAAGAAAACTACCAGCTAGTAATTCATCCAAATGATTTTTACAATAGCAGTAAGAGCATTAAACATTTGAATCCTGGGATTCTTCCAAAATAAATTTATGCTTTCTAAATCAACTAATTCATTTCGAGCACTGGTATGATTTCTTTTTCTGTTTTCACAGAATACATTTACATATTTTTAGTTGGAAAGCAAATTTTTATTGCAAGATTTACTGAAAATACAACTGCTCTTTGAATAGAAGACAGTAGTTCACTAAATCTGAGGATTATCTAGAAATTAAAAAACATACCCATAGGTGTTGGTACATTGGCTCTTTTCAGCAAGTGTCATCTATTCAGATATTATATTTTAGCAATGTTAATGAATAAGTCACTCGATAGTCAAAAAAGGCAGTAGCTAGACTCCACAGTTAGTGCACAAGCACCAGAGAATGAAGAGGATGAATGAACCCCTCCCTCCCTCCCTCCCTTCCTCCCTTCCTTCCTTCCTTCCTTTTTTCCTCCTTGCTCAACTTTTTATTTTGAAAACTTTAAATCTTTATAAAATTTAAAAGAACAGTACAAAAATCACCTGGATATTTCACCTAGTTATATAAATTGTTCATACTAATTCACTCTCTCTTTCTGAACCACTAGAAAGTAATTTGTAGACATCATAAAACTTCACTACTAAATATCTCAGAGCACATGGGAGCTGCATTTTTAAAAACTCAGTCTCTTGAGGATTCCTTTCTTATCAGCAGCTTGCCCCTCATACAGCTAGTCAGCATCCCTCCACCAATAGGATGCTGTGGAAAGTCTTGGGCTCTCAGCTGAGATACTTACTACTTGAGTTATCCAAGAAAGCAGCTTAATTTCTCAGAGTCAGAGTTACCCCAACCACATTTGCCGAATTTCTACAGGCAGTGTGCAGACCAACATCCACCCATTCAGGGAGAAAGTATATATTGAGAGGTTCCTAGGCCTGGCACAGACCTTGAATGAGGTAATATTGGTTTGTCGGAAAAGTCTCATGACATATTTTTGCAACAGTTGGCACTAGTTCATTGTGGGAATTAATTAGTCCATTTTAGAGTCATTCTCATCTATGTTATTGCTATGTCATTTGACAGCTGACAGTTCTAGTTCGTTCTAAAAAAATTGAGTGATTTGGTTGAGTTTTGGAGATTTTACAAGTCGAAGATGGAAGACCAAACCGTGCATTTTTGCCATATTTTACTGTTTTACTTCCATAAAAGGAAGAACACGCGTCAAGCTTGTGAAAAGTTGCATAAAGTTTATGGTGACAACGCTCTACAAGAACATCAGTGCCAATAATGGTTCACGAAATTCTTCTGTCCTGGTGATTTTTATCTCAACAACGCTCCTCGGTCAGAGAGGCCCACTGAGGTTGATGATGACAAAATAAAGGCATTGTTAGAGTCATACCCCCGTTAAATGACATGAGAGATTGCAGAAACATTGAACATCCATCATTCAAGCATTCATGACCACCTGAAGCAGCTGGGATACATGTAAGCAAGCTCGATATTTGGGTCCCTTACGAACTCAAAGAAGTTCATTTGATGGCATGTATAAACATATGCGATATGCTCATTAAACATGAGGAAAATTATTCTTTTTTGAAGCGACTGATAACTGGTGATGAAAAGTGGATTGTTTACAACAATGTGGTGATTAAACGGTCTTGGTCCCAATGTGATGATTCGCCTCAAACAACATTGAAAGCAGACATTCATCAGGGGGAGGTTATGTTCTCAGTGTGGAGGGATTTTAAAGGTGTCGTGTTTTTCGAGCTCCTACCAAGGAACCAAACAATCAATTTGAATGTGTACTGTCAGCAATTGGACAGTTTGAATGAATCCGCCATCCAGAAATGTTCAGAGCTTGTCAATCGTAAAGGAGTTGTGTTCCATCACGACAACACGAGACCACACACAAGTTTGATCACCTGTTAATAATTATTGGAACTTGTATACAATGTGTTGCCACACCCACCATACTCGCCTGACCTTGCGCTGTCAGACTTCCACTTGTTTTGCTCTCTTCAAAACTCCTTGTGTGGTATAACGTTCAATTTAGATGAGGCTGTAAATCAGCACCTTGTTCAGTTTTTCGTGAATAAAGACAGGTCCTTCTATGAATGGGGAGTTATGAAGCTCACTGAAAGATGGCAAAAGGATATCGAACAAAATGGGCAATATATCATTGATTGATCTTTGTTCTTTATATAAATAAATGACCTTTGAAAAACAGAAAAAATAAGTCATGAGTTTTCCGACAACCCTATAGATGGAAACATGCCTTAAAATGCAAGCTATGACCTGGGTTCAATGCCAGTTGTGCGGTCTTGGCCAAGTCTGTTGCCCTCAAAACTTTCTTTGTCTGTAAAATGTGATTGTTAAACTTACTTTGGAAGATTGCTGACTGTCTAACATGGGGTGATAAATGTGCATTCATTTCAACAGTTAAAAGGCTCACTACATTGTACTGATTGTGGTTTACTATGAGTATGAAAATCAGTGAGGCAGTATAGCTTCAAGGAAAGGAGCATAGCCTGTGGGTTCATCCTCCCTGGGTTCAAATCCTGGCTCTCCTACTTTTTACCTGTGGCTTTAGATACATCACTTGAGTTCTGAGCCTGTTATTGAAATGATTTTTAATAATAAATAATGCAAAATAAAATGAAACTTCAATTCCTATAACCCAAACACAGTTAAGGAAGAGGTTGAAGCTCTGAAACAAAGTTATAAGAGTAGGGGGCAGAAGTAATTGGGAGAATAGGAATGATGGGAAGGGGAGGAGGAAGGGGAGAAGGAAGCAAAAAAGAATATTATAATTAATTAACTTTTTCTGCCTTCCAGGGAGATGGACCAGTTTAAACCTCTATGGGAACCTGCTCTAACTTTACGGCATGGAAGAACCATTAAACTTCTTTTTTTGGGGGGGCAGGGGGTGGGGGCGGGGTATCAATTCCTATCTGCTTCTGAATTGTCAAAGCCAAGGGAGGAAAGAGTTATTCCTTCTCCTTCCCAACTCGCCTAACTCAACTTAGAATGTTATGTTAGTTTCAAATAAAAAAATGGGTTGCCCATTTAAGTTAGATTTATAAATCTTTCAAATTAGCATCCTTTTAGAATTGAAAAGCAGGTTCAAAGCTAATTATTCACGATTTTTTCTGTAAGAATGAAAAATATATAATGTCACATGTATTGCCAAACTGCTTCTTTGTATACAGAGGTATTTATATCCTTAGAACTTTAATGTAATTCAAAGGAGAAAAGCACTTGAAAATGAGAAACTAAGACCAATTTTTGTTTTCAAGATTCATGGGAAAAAAGAATGACTGATGTAGCATAAATAAATGTTATTTGGCATCTTTTTGGCTAATGTGTTTGAATTACTCTAGTGACTAATCTTTTGAACTTGCCATCATTTGTGAGGGTTTCTTTATGTATATTAAATTAAAATCATAATTCAAAGGTAATAAAGATGGTGTGTGTTTGGGGAGGGAGAGACAAAAGTTTCAGTGAATAATACCCTTTTTTCATCTTTTTTACAAATCTTTCTTTGATCAAACAAAAAACAAAGTTGATTTGGGTAATAACTTGTCAGCCTATGGCCCAGGATTAAGATAATAAGAATTATTAATTCTATGTGTTATGTTAAAACATTATGTTGGTGAGGGCTTGTCGAGTGGCTCAGTTGGTTAAGAGTGTGAGCTCTGAGCAACAGGGTCACTGGTTTGATTCCCACATGGGCCAGTGAGCTGTGCCTGAGCTGAGCTGATGCTGAGCTGCCAACGGGTGGCAGGATGGCTCAGCTGGTAAGAGCACATGCTCCTAACAACAGGTTGTCTGTTCGACTCCCACAAGGGATGGTGGACTGTGCCCCCCATCGCCCCCCTGTCCCCCTGCCCCCTCAACTAAGATTGAACACAGCACCTTGAGTTGAGCGGCCACGACCTGCCAATTGGTGGCCTGATGGCAACTGGACTTGAGAGCTGAGCTGGCTGCGCTCTCCACAACTAAGATTGAAGGACAACAACTTGACTCTTCCCTTCCCCAATTCCCAACACTGTTCCCCTTCCCCAATTCCCCAATAAAATCTTTAAAAAACAACAGCAACAAAAAAAACATTATGTTGGTTTTATGAATCAGGCAATAGGATGGAGTGAAATCCATTATGTGGATTTGAGTTAAAACACCAACTGCACCACATACCAGTGTAGGGGTCCTGAGAAAGTTCCTTTCTTTTTTTTTTTAAAGATTTTTATTGGGGAATTGGGGGATGAAGAACAGACAAGTTGCTATTTTTTTGTTCTTCAGTCTAGTTGTGGAGGACATTGCTTCACTGGCCCAAGTTGGCACCATCATTGCGCTCTTCCCTGGCGAGGCAGATCAGTCACTGGCTTCTGGACTGCCGCTTACGGTGGCTTGAGGGCCGCTCACGCTGACTGCTGGCTACACACGGTAGCCCATGGCAACCCACTGTAGCAGGGGCTACAGCCTATGCCATTGCTGGCGACTCATGGCAGCCCAGCTCCAGGTCGAGCTGTTGTTCAGCATCTTAGCTGTAGAGGGCAATGTCACTGGCCCTCATATGTGGGATTCGAACCAGAGTCCTCTGGCATCCCAAACCAACTCTTAACCAACACGCCACTCGGCCGGCCCCGAAAGTTCCTTTCTTAGTCTCAGTTTCGCCATCTGTGAAAGGACTGTGGAAAGGCCATCAATCATCCCAGAAATTTGGGAGAAGATTTGGGTACAACAAGGAAGCCTGTGGGATGGTCAACATGACTGATGTGAATAAGGACGGCCGCAGAGGGAGTGACAAGACAGGGAGTCTCTGCACCAGCGAAGCTGAGAGGTTGCTCTAGGTGGGTGAGGCACACTGACAGCTAGGTTTCTCAGTCATCCATAAAGCGGTTACCAATCACCACTGATGGCTGGTCACAGGGGACAGCCCCTGAGGACACCAGGAGTCAGATAGGCACTTAAAATCTCCTTGGGGGAAACTATAAATACATATGTGTGTGTATATATATATATATATATAGAGAGAGAGAGAGAGAGAGAGAGAGAGAGAGACTGAGTTTCAAATCAGTTTAGACCATTGTTTCTCAAAAATGGCTGCTCATCTGAACCTTAATTAGGAAATGTTCTAAAACTATAACATCTGAGCCCAATATAGACCTGCTGCATCTGAAAATCTGTGCATGAGGAATGGAAGTCTATATTTTGTCTAAGGCAGTATCTGATTCAAGGCTATACCCCAGTGCCTAACAAGGGACCTAGCACATAGGAGGCAATCGATCCATCTGAGGTGCTCAGAGCCCACTTTTTTTCTCCTGTACCCTCAGACTGAGTGCGATAGTGTCCCTGCCTGAGAATTAAACTGTAGGAAAATTTCCAAACTGGGGATCCAAGAAAAGTAGAAAGTGAGCATTCGAGTTACAAACTGAATGAGGGGCTGAAATGATCTCCTGGCTCCATGACAGACCCATGAGTATGAAAGTCTAAACCGTATTTCCCAACACTGCATTTGGCTCCTGCCGTGAGCACCGTGGCATGGGGTTATAATGGGGTCGTTCATAGGATTTTCCTTCTTTCTCAGCATCCTACTGGGTCCATGAGCACAAGGCGAAAGGCCCACTTGAATGGGGGAAGGGAAAAGGAAAACACTAGGAAAAACAAAATAAAACCTAAATTATTTTCTTGAAATGTTACCCTACACATACACATAATATGAAGACAGACCTGGGATATTAGTGATGATGGAGAAAAAGAGAGACAAAGGATTTCCAGGTTTTACCCAAACACACAAGTCATACATACAAGTGTAGGCAAGAAGACATTATGACAAAGTGCTGAACAAAGTGAATATAAACAGCACTCAGCTTCTCTTCCTTATTCAAACCCTGGTGGGTGTCTGCCCAGGAATTGAGGACAGTTCTGCTCTGAGCCGCTAAGGAAGACAGGAGGAATCTGGAGGATCTCGGAGGGAAGCAAGCCAAAAAACAAATGGTCAGAGGGACATCCCAATTATGACTTCATAATTCTTCAATGGACAAAAACTTAGATTGGCAACATTATATGACAGACTTCTTGCTGATCTCATGAAAAGGACATGTGAAGTGTATTCAAATTGAGTCCACAAACCATAGATAACTGTCTTGGACCACACCTATGAAATGCAGGACAGAGAATTCTAAGACATATTGTCATCTATGGGTGCTGAGCAATAGTGTATATTCTCCCAAAGGGTGAGTTAGGAAAAACAAAATGAAAGAGAGAGAAAGAAAAGAGGAAAGAGGTAAAGGAAGGTGGAAGAGGAAGAAGTGGGGAAGGAGGAGAAGAAGGGGAAGAAAAAAAAAAAGAAAAGAATTGGTCAATAATGTATTCATGGGAGAGGACCATTATGATTGGACCCAAGGGGGGGAAAAATTGCCTTTCTACAAAATTACTTTGTTCTGAGTTAGAAACAATAATAGGCTAACCCCAACCTTAACCCAACATATCAGTCAGTGTTTGATCAGAAATCAAATATATATATATATTTGTGTGTGTGTATACACACACACACACACAAACACACACACACACACACACACACACACATTTGTGGTGATGGGGGAAAAGAGAGAAAAAGGATTTCCAGGTTTTACCTAGATATATAACAAGAGTTGTCTATGGTAATGGTGGAAACTAGTTAAGCAGTCTCTGAAAGACTGCAGTCCTCATGTCCGATGCTGGAGCTTGTAGTCCCCAGGACAGGCCATCAGCAAGGGAGGGTGGGTGTTAAATGTGACAGAGCAAGAAGACGTAACCCACAGGATGAGCGGAATCTCAGGAGGACGACCTGAAACCCATGTCCGTCCTCACTGCCTGTGGCTTCGATGTGTGGGTGTCCTGCAGAAACTTTATCATGGAGCTGAACACACACCGCCTGGCCCAGGGCTCAGGGAAGCTGAAGGCGATCCTGGGCGGGGGGACAGGTGTAGGCCCGCCATTGCCTGATGTCAGTGAGGGGAGGCAGCGGATGGGCGAAGGTGTCTGAGCTGCCGGACGCTGCTGCATCCTCTCCGCCCTCCAAAGCTGACACAGTCGCTCTTGTGGAGCAATTGGAAACATGGAAAAGGGGACCTGGGGAAATGCAGTTTGGCTTAGCCAAGTTGACAAATTACAAAGCCAGCACACCCAGTTTGGGGAAGGGAATGGTTTCTTAGTTTTGTTGTGTGTGCATGAGCACATGTACTCTTTCTTAGTGTAGATCAGGACCTCTTAGCCTCTACAAAATTGACATTTGGGACCAAATAATTCTTTGTCAAGGGTGGGGAGAGCTGTCTTGTGCTCTGGAGGATGGTCAACAGCATCCTTGGCCTTACCAACTAGATGCTAGCAGCAGCCTCTTCTGCTCAGTTGTGACAACCAAAGTATCTCCAGGTATTGCCAAATGTCCCCAGGGAGCAAACTCTTCTGTGGTTGAGAATCACTGGTCTTGATCTCATCCTACATGAGGAGAAGAACCATTAGCTCTTTATCCCGGAAACCAACACAATGCTTTGCTGGCACAAACTGTTCAGGAATTATTGACTGAACGCACGCATATACGCCTAAATAAATATTTACCATTCACCAAAGTGACAGATATACCTTTGAAAGAAGGTACTATGCTCCTGGAATATTGCTGTTCTGATTTCAGAGCACAGCTTTTTGGGCCTAAATTCTCTCCCACATGATATTCACTGTTATGGCTTTCATGGCTGTGTTCACAACTCCCGTATCTTTATCCCCAGCCCAGACCATTGACCTACCCGCTAAATATCTGTTTTTGAATGTCTCATTGGCCCCTCAAAGCAACATTTTTAAGCTATACTATCCCAGTCTCTCCATACAGATTTCTCCTGAACTTCTGTCAGGGAACGTCATCATCTGCGTTAAGTAGACACAGAACCAAGAAGTGATCCTAGACGACTGTCCTAAATCCATAACTTACCATGCCCTACCTTTTCTGTGGCTTCCATCACCCAGCCCCAAGGGCCTCTGCAGACCCAGCCACTGCTCTGCCCAGAACTCAGCATCCAAAAAGCGCCTGTCATCACACACTCTTTTAAACCCTGGCCTTGCGCATACGTCTCCATCTGCATGGGAAGGCTCTTTCCTTCTTCTTTATCAAGATAACTGCTTCTTCTTGTTCAAGACTCAGTTCAGGGTCATCTCATCCAGGTTCTTCCTTCCTCATTGTTCTCTCAGCTAATTGACACACCTCCACATTCTCCTATGACATTTTATATGTGTCAGAATGGTTGCCCTTTTCGTGTTCCATCACGTAACACTCCGCCTTTCCCACAGGCCTGAAAACTCCTTGAGCTCAGAAACTCTAGCTCATCAATATTGT